GGGGTTCCATGTCAGCTGCTTGTGTTTGTCCACTGTGTTTTATCAAGGGCAGGGTCAATGCAGCTAGCTATGAAGAGATTTTTTGAGCACTTCATGCTTCCATCTGCTGAAAAGCTTTATGGAGATGAAGATTTCATTTTTCAGCACGACCTGGCACCTGCTCACAGTGCCAAAACTCCTGGTAAATGGTTTACTGGCCAATTGGCCTGTCAACTGACCTGAACCCCATTGAGAATTTATTGGATATTGTAAAGAGAAAGTTGAAAGAAGCAAGACCCAACATTCTGGATGAGCTAAAGGCCGCTATCGAAGCATCCTGGGCCTCCATAACACTTCAGCAGTGCCACAGGCCGATTGCCTCCATTCCACGTCGCCTTGAAGCAGTCATTTCTGCAAAAGGATTCCAGACCTGAGTGCATAACTGTGTGCATAACATATTGGTCGGATGAAATATGCTAATTTTGTGAGAAAGGAATTTTGGGTTTTCATGAGCTGAATGCCAAAATCATCCGTATTAAGACAATAAAAGACCTGAAATTAGTTAGTGTCCAATGAATCTAAAATATATGAATGTTCAAGTTTTATCATTACATTGTGGAACATAATGAAATTAACATAATATGCTAAAATTTTGAGAAGGACCTGTACTTCAATCATGATGAACGCACACCACTCTGAAAGTAATCCCACATGGGGAGTCTCTGTCATTAACTGGGATAGACTGCCCTCTGCTGGTAAACACCAGTAACTGCTGGTAATGACTTCATCTGTGGGAGAACACTGAGCCACTGTGCTGAACATCTCAGTGGGTTTTCACCCAACTCTACCTGCTGTGCCAGCACAGAGGATACATTCCCAGATTTTAGAAAACCTTTACCATTATTCCTTTGCCTAAATCCAAACACAGCCAAAAGTATTACATTGATTAAAGCCCATTGACCTCACATGCTCTGTTGTAAAAAACGTCCTCAAATAATTTATCTCTGGCCTCATTGAGGGCTAAATAAATCA